GCTTTACTCATACCACGCAGTATAAATCGCATTTTAAATAAGCATTCAGTGTAATAAAGGACCATAGAGCAGACCCGGTAATATTCAGACAAAGGAAACTTTGTATCAACCTCCGATGGCACCTCTCGCCATCTGCGTGAGGAGAAAACAACTTTGGAAAGTAATAAGGTTTGGATTTGGCTAACTGTGCGATAAGACACATCACTAGAACTCATTCATGTTTTTGAAAAAACCCCTTTTTATTCACGCGATTTCTTTAGAAATATTTCCTTAATGGTTTCTTTCAAGCGTTCTCTCATTTGCAGGTGATAACTTTGCACAACCCGCACAAATGTTTTAAATTCCCCTGAAACTTTTGCTCGTGGAAACCACTTTAGTAAAAAACCTTTCTTACGTCACTTAGGACGTCTGTCAAGTAATTAGAATTGTGTGACCCATGACTCTCGCTGTAAGCCGCCAATCTGTACTATCTTGGAGTTACTGACGTTGACAACAAGCAAGTTGGTGCATCGCCGTAAAGTGGTAGCTTCTCAGTCACAATTTTTTCAGTTAGGGCCTAGCTGCATTGGCAAAAACGATTCTTCCTTTTGACAATTTTTCTGTCATAACCGATACTTAACATGTGTGAATGATTTGTGGCGACAAACATTTTGGCCGAAGGGGACAAACCTTCTAACGCACCCCCGACAAAATCTGTTTTTGTTGTTGCTGTTGTTGTTGTTGTTTTAGTGAGCAACAATGAACAACGAACTAAAATAATCTTCCACGCGTTTCGTTTGAGACGAAAGTATTCACAGGGCTTGCTAAGGTATTGAACATGAATGACATCACTCGTACGTTACATGTACGATTATAGGGAAACCACAACCCCATGTAACTCTGGACCCTCGGCACCATGTCTAGTTTTGTCATCAGAACGTTTCCAAATTCTGCGCGTGTTCGATCCTGGCTTTACTTGGTTTTATATAAGGACTTTATCTTCTTTTTAATCATGGTTTCATGAAGAGAAGTTAACTCGTCTACATTCGAAAAAAGCAGCATTTAAAGGCGAGTGTCGACAAAGACGAGCGTTCAACCAAAGGCAATAGGATCTCCGGATCCCGGTGGAACTGATTACCGCGAAAAGGTCTCTCGGGAGATCTCTAACAACCTGACAGTTTGTGAGCTCAACGAAATACCTTTTCTGAATAATTCGACTGCTCGGCAGGATTTTCCTGAAAATTTTTTTTTTGGGAAAACTAAGTTTAAGTGATTGACTTGGATTTGATCGAGAAAACAAAAAATCATTTTCGAACAAATTTGACATGTGAAGGTTTGGAGAAACGTCGAGTTTTTTAATTAAGGCAGTCTTCTTCAAATGAAGACCCTGCTACATTTATTCATTTTTTTAAACTCCGTCGTCAAACCTTGAGATCATTCAGATGAGGCATTATTATGCAAAGTTCGCCTCGCATACACTCTTGTAAGCTTCAAATTAAGTTTCAAATTACCTACAATCGATTTGTGTGACCCTACACGGGGTTAAAATGTCATAGGGAGCAATTCACAGTCACCAATCCCGTGGGTGAGTCATTTGAACGAAGGTCTGGTGGCAAAGCAGCCATTTTAACGACTCTAACGAAACTTTTTTCAGGGATTGGTGAAATTAAAACTGTCCATTCTTTTTGAATGGCAGAAGAACCTGGCTATAAATGGGTCTTCTACCTTTTGCCGTCTTATATTTCTTCTTTCATAGAAACGGGCTATATTTCGTAAAGACGGATACTGTCAAGATGATCGTTCAACTGATTACACACTGCTGCTGCAACTGCACATTTTTTTTTCTCTGACGAAACTAATATTCTTCGATATATCTATTATTATATATACCATTCTAAAGCCCAATGTTCATTTACTATAAAACAAAATTGTTTTTTGGTGTGTGTCTCCAGGATATTCTGCTTTCTTGAGATTCAGATGGGTCGTACTTTACTTCGTTCGAAGATAAAAGTGTAGGAATACTGAATGTAGGAATATTTTGTGATCCAACAAATTCTCTTTGGAAATACTGTTGGTCACTTCTTGAAATTCTGCCGCATTACAAACCATATTACAGTCATTGGCTAGCTGTTGTGCGCGTTAACTTAAACTTGCAATGTCGAGGTTTTCATGTCTCAGGAATTGGAGCCAACTCCTCCTGATACAGATGTACTATTGGTTCTACCAGCTGGAGAAGTTTCTGGTCATAGCATTCCTTTTTGTTTCTTTCCTCATCCTTGTCTAAAAGCTATGACTCAAGCTGCAGAAAAAGATGCAAAGAAGCAATTACAGAAGTTCATATCCAAATTACTAAGGAATACAATAAATATATCACGCGAAATTTTATATTAAAAATTTAAATTCTCCATTATGCATAGTGGCCTTATATACCATGAAGTCTCTGGGGCTCAGTGGTCGAGCATCGGAGCGCGGAATCTAAAGGTCTACGGTCATGGGTACACAGAATATTTTCTTTGTCCCACGGTTGTGACAAGGAGAAAAAACACTTTTCACAAAATCATCTCTCTCACTCCATCTTGAATTTTTCTGTTGTCAGGCCTCTTAAACTGGGCACGTCTAACAAGAAAAGAGTGGAGAAAGATGTTTTTCGTTTTCTCACGAGCTTGGGACAAAGAAAAAGTTCTGAGTCCCCATGAGGAATCGAGCCTCAGGCCTTCGTATTCCGCGCTCAGATATCTACCACTGAGCCACAGAGACTTCACGGTGAGCCAGGTCTATTACGAAGTTCATATGACACGCGTCATTCATACTGCTAAGATCAGCAATGTCCATAGCGTCATGTTTGTAAATAGAATAAGAGAGATGATAAGTTTTGAGCTCGGTAAAGTAATAGAGAAAGATGTTGTTTGCTTTGTCACGAGCGCTATATGTCCCCTCATGGGTTGTACCCGTAATGGAGAGGGATGATGTGATAAAAATGGCATGCTAAAATCAGTCTAAGATATGGAGTCGATTCGAAGGGAGGGAGGGAGCTGCTCCAATAAACTTTGCTCCCAGATTTCCACCCTGAGTTCCAAATCTTTACACTTCTAAAGTGTTCTTCATCAGAAGCCCATTTCAAAGATTATACCGTTTGCGAATGGGCGCCACATTTTCGTGTCAAAATGACCATCTTTTGAGTAAAAACGGCATTGTTTGTTTGGTTTTTTCGACTTTATCTCTAAGTAAATCCTCACCTCAAATACAGAAGAATAAATAACACAGGTCGGATGCTTGCGTGAAAAGGTGAATGTGAAGAGATTTCTTCTCTTTGAAAAACAAAAGTTTTTCTGCAAGGTATTCATTCAAAACTTTACACACAGTTACCAAATCACTTTCGAGCGTCGTGAGTGTTGAAAGTGAAGATTGTCAGTGGCTTCTTGAAAATCTGAAACTAGCGACGCGATTTTCATTAAAGTGGAACTGATATATGGAACTAACAAAAATTTTAAAACCTGACCGTAGAGTCTTGAACAACGGACAAAAATTTGCTGGTAGCCAAACCAACAACCCCTTTGATCGGTCCAACTTATTTGTTAAGGCTTCTGCAGATAGTTTGTGATGCAAACGCTGCAATTCTAGCAAATTCACGACTTTGGTATCAGAGGATGGTGAGGATGGAACTGTTTTATTTGTTAACTCTCGTTCGCTACAAAACAGCACAGTTAAGCGCATGCATGCGCAGTAGAGTGCAGCATTTACAATAGCTGAAGAAAAAAGTTAATTACAATAATTATAAAGAAAGAATAGAATAGATTTTTATTTGGAATAGACTACTTTACACATAAAATTGTATCTTTAAATACTTATATATATAGGTATATATGCTGTTGTTGACACTAAAATGTTTAGGTAAAATTATTGCAGTCTTCGATTTTCTTCGATGTGGCACAGCTCCCGTTAAGCGCTTGCGCTCAAAACAGGTGAACGTTTTACTTGCTCTGGTATTGAGACTAAGAGAGTTCCACGAAGTTACAAATAGATGATAAAAAAAAAACGTTGCGCAATAGGAACAGTTAGGGAAAATCTACACAGCTCACTTACACAGGAGATCTAAATTTATTGCTGAGTCGATCCAAGTAGCACACAACACCTGTCACACAAGTAGAAACTCAGTTTAGGATCTATGGGGCCCAGCCGTTCGATGAAAACTTTGGGCCGCAGATTCAGATGTTTTCATTTAAACGCACCCGCAACATCTTTTATCTTTGTCCTAAGTCATTTGTAATTTTTCTCTTCTGGTCAATTTATCCACAAGAAACTGTGTGAAAACCTTGATCAGAAATTAATTAGTAATTTAATTTAGAAATGTCAGAAGAGACGTGTTTGTAACGAGCAAACAAGAGGCCCAATTTTGTTCTTAGTTTAAACTTTCAAAGTTTTAATTGGTATCCTTTCATTTTGCATGCATCATCTCCCAATGTATAATAAAAATGTCAATTCAATTTTTGAAATTCCTCTATCTTTTCTTAGTCTTTTTGTCCAAGTTTCACAGCACATATTTGTCTTTTGACGCCTCATGGAACAAAAAAGTTTACTAGAGAAACTGGAAAACTGCATTTGCAAATGAGAAAGAAAAAGCTGATATTATCTGAGAAAAAAAAATACAAGATGCATTTTGTAATGCTTGATGTTTGTAACTTTTGCGACATTTTGTCAATAGGAGACTGAAAAAAACTTTTGACTCCGAAAGAATTTGAACATATAACCTAATGGCACTTGTACAATACTTAAGCATACTGAACTTTGAAGTTTAAAGCCATTGTTTTTATGAATTCTTTGCTATCCATAATCTTTATCAATTGGTTAAGTTATTTCATTTAATCTAATTTGCCGATTTTTTAACTGGCGAAAGTAGTACCAGAATGGTTGCATGAAATCGTCAAAATTCGAAAAGTCAGTTGGGCAACAATTAGATCAGATTGCGAAGCAGAAATATTTTACAAATACACTTTCGCTCTGGCGGAAAATCTTGTGACGAGATGAAGAGCGAGAAACTTAGAGAGCTTAAGAAAGAATGTGGCAGCAAAGGTCTCAGTTTCGATTCTTGGGCCAATAGGTACGACAAAGCTCGTAAACTGTACGACAAGTTTAGCCCCTGCGTCGGTGGTGCCATTGAGGGAGAAACCAAAAAGGTTAAAAAATACTCTCACTGATTTAACTCCTGTGGAAAAGATCAGACTGAAGATGGCTCCTGCACAGTTCAAGGTTTGAATAGGAGATTGGAACTAGAACTGGATGTTAAATCACCCTACACAACGGTGTAAGGCTTTTTTTTTCTTTTATATTAGTAGTTTTACAAAACTGGCTTCTCGTATTTTCTATCAGTGGGTGTTCTATCATACTGGTGACGCTTTGGGTTCCGTAAGCATCATATAAATCATGGTATTAGTCACCAATCCTTTAGAGTTGGGGCCATTAATGTTTAACTTTAAAGTGGCGATCTCTTTAAGAGCGGTCCGAGGCGTTTCGCATCGGAAAAATGTTTACCTCAAACTTTTCCGATTAAAACTATCTTAGGTAGTAAGTAAATAAAACCCCATTAGTTTCTGGAAATACGTTTAAAAAAAATTTTGAAAGGTCTCAATAATCAAGGCTGCAAAAGGTCCTTTTTTGACCTCTTGTGACATCGAAAATTTCAAAAGTTGACAAGCTCGCCGCTCGCAACACACTACATGCAGCAAGAAATCGTTTGTATTCCTAAATTTTGCGATATATAAGGGGTTTGGAAAGCATTTCAGTTTTGATATTTAGAGGCTCAACATAATTTATTCAGAAACGCCGGTCAGACAGCTTTCTGAAATAGGCCAAAAGTACTCTTTCTTTCTTGGGTGATATTTCTTAAGTCCAGACCAGACCATCAAACGTTTGGTCATTTTGCTAGCGTGACAGCAGATTATGCAAATTAGTCTGTTGAGAAAACTCCAACCGTTTATAGTAGCTTCATAAATGTTAGAAAGAATAGATAGGAGGGAAAAGCTTTTAGAACACAATGATTGATTCTCTAAACATTTTTAACGGCTAAATCCCAGCAAATGATTCTGTCTCGTGACGAAAAAGGCGAATAAAACGTATCGAATATCATATTGATTAGCGCTCGGTCAACGTGATAATAAGAAACCCGTTTTAAAAAAATTGGTTTCTATTCTTTCAACATGTATCAACATTTCAGAACCAAACTAGCATTACCACTAGAGGCAGTCCTTTCTTTGCGGGGAAGTCCACGGCGCAGGTCGCAAAAAAGCTATGAGGGAAAAATTTAGTGCCTCAGTCCAAGAGCTCCCGGCTAAAATTATAAAATGATAATTTCGCCATGACCGGTTATTTCGTAAGATGATCATCTCACAGTTGGAGCTTGGGCCGCCTGTAGTCACGGTGAATCTGAATCTGTTATAATACTTCGATAACAATCCTTTAAAATAATAGCCTTGTTGCACATAGAACGTCAATTAAAAAGTCCAACGTAAGAGCTCTTAACATTGAAATCCCTCTCGCGATGATTATACGCACTGGCATCACTCCCGACAGATATTAGATTGGCCAAATTTACCGATCTTCTGTTCCTATTTAACGAACGACTGTTCACAAATGTTCTTCGGCGGACGATTGATGGAATTTTCATAGTTCCGTTGGCCTCTTTCACCTTCGAAAGTTTACCAGCTCTTTTTTCACGATATTTCCAATTCCGAGGTCGATTCCGTACACACAAATCCAAAAGGGCACAAACGCACAAGATCGTAACAAAGTAAGCTTGGTTGTTTAAGATAAGCTAGCGTGTTAAGGAACAAAGGAACTTGACGTGTTAAAAAAAAAATCTAGCGTGTTATCGAAACAAAGCTTTACCGTGTTAGCCAGATATAAACAACAATATTTTTATACGCGGAAAACGTGTCATGCCATTAGCGTGCGGGCGTATCATAACGTGCCGTATGGAGAGTCACATAGACAAAACGATGAACAGGAGATACGGACGAAATGTTGCCATTTGTGACATCAGTATGGCTCAGTTTCGCTGAGTAATCTGCTCGAGACAGCGAGAAATAATGTGCAAAACGCGGAGAAATAACGGGACCCGGGTTAAGTTCAAAATCCATATAGATGGTGGTGTCCGTAGTCAAAGGAAGATAGATACATGTCTAGCCATGTTTGCTCAGGGAAAATAATGGACGGTGGAATGGTTATCAGGTTTGAAAGATCCTCTTCCAAATCGAATAAGACTCCGAAAAACAGCTTGTCTATCAGCAACAGCATAAGATACAAAGCAGTGGCCATTAAGCAAGAAATATTGCAGTACACGAACAAGCATAAATAAAGTTTTCAACGAAGAGGTTAAAAACGTGGCAGCCGTGATGGCCCTCATGCATTAACAACTAAGCGACATTGTTCAGTGAACCTTAACCGATCGAAGAAAAAACATAGTTCACTATTTCTTTACCGTGCTTAAAAATTTACCATCTCTCATCTCCCCTAGTCCATCTCGAATATTTCCGTTGTTAGGCCTCTTAAGTAGGGCACATCTGACACAAAAAAAAAAGAGAAAGATGTTCTTCGTTCTGTCAAGAGCGTGGGAAAAAGGAAAAAAATTCTGAGTTCCCATGAATAATCGAACCTCAGACCTTCGGATACCGCGCTCCGATGCTCTACCACTGAGTCAGAGACTTTACGGTGCAAAATCTATTACGAAGTTTATATAACACGCTTCTTTCATACTGTTAGGACCAGCAATGTCGATAGCGTCATTTTTGTAAATACAATAAGGGAGATGGTAAGTTTTGAGCTCGGCAAAGAAATAGAGGAAAATGCTTTACGTCTTGTCACGAGTGTTACATGTCTACTCATGGTTGCGTCTGTGATGGCAAGGGACGATTTGATAAAAATGGCATGCTAAAATCAGTCTAAGATTTGGAGTCGATGCTAATGGAAGGAGTTGCTCTAATAAATTTAAAGTTGCTGAAATTTTTACTCTTTGAAAGAAAACAGTTTTTCTGCAAGGTACTCATTTAAAATTTTACACATAGTAACCGAATTACTTTCGAGCGTCGTGAGTGTTGAAAGCGAAAATTGTCGGTGACTTCTTGAAGATCTGGAAACTAACAACACGAATTTTACCAATGTGGAACTGATGTATAGAACTTATAAAAAATTTAAAACCTGACATTAAAATCTTGAGCTGACAAAAATTTGCTGGTAGCCAAACAAACACAGCCGTTTTGATAAGTCCGACTTTCAGACATAGTTTGAAGCTACACTGGTTTGCAGATTTAATGAATGTAACCGAAGAAGTTACAATTCATAGACCCAACGTTTCGACACTCCTGTCTAGTGTCTTCATCAGGGGTGATCTAAACGCTGCAACAAGAGGTCCTTTTATATGATCACTAATTAGCGGCCTTTTTTTTCTGACGAGGTGTAAATAGGCGTCAGGAAGCAGACCGCCATCGTCACGATTTAACGGAGCGTGGGCGGAGTTAATGTGCCAAGCCTCCAAACAAAGGCGCTGGTGGTAACGTCGATTAGTGGTGATAATTTTAGAATTATCCCACCCAATTGTATGGTTGGTTAGGCAAGTATGCTCCGATAAAGCTGGATTTTCCTTTTTGCAAAGAAAAACCGCTTTTTGGTGCTCTTTTAACCGTGTACCAAACTGGCGTTTGGTCTGTCTGATGTATTCGTTGTCATAGTCATTGCAAGGAATAGAATAAATGGCGTCGGTTCGTTGTTCTTTCGTGACAGGATCCTTAGGTTTGGCGAAAATATGCCCCAGAGTCTGATAAGGTTTTTGAGCAACTTTAACGTTGTAGCTATTCAAAATTCTCTTGATGGGTTCCGGTAACACCCTGTATGTAAGGAATAACAGCAAAACCAGTCGCTGGTTGCCTTCCATCAAGAGCGTTACTAATTGTAAAAAATTAAAAGAGCACCAAAAAGCGGTTTTTCTTTGCAAAAAGGAAAATTCAGCTTTACCGGAGCATACTTGCCTAACCAACCATACAATTGGGTGGGATAATTCTAAAATTATCACCACTAATCGACGTTACCACCAGCGCCTTTGTTTGGAGGCTTGGCACATTAACTCCGCCCACGCTCCGTTAAATCGTGACGATGGCGGTCTGCTTCCTGACGCCTATTTACACCTAGTCAGAAAAAAAAGGCCGCTAATTAGTGATCAAATAAAAGGACCTCTTGTTGCAGCGTTTAGATCACCCCTGATGAAGGCACTAGACAGGAGTGTCGAAACGTTGGGTCTATGAATTGTAACTTCTTCGGTTACATTCATTAAATCTGCAAACCAGTGTAGCTTCAAACTATGTCTGATTGTCCACCTGGTTGCCGTGTGAACTTTAAGTCCGACTTTATTTGTTAAGGCTTCTGTAGATAGTTTGGGATTCAAACGCCGAAATTCTAGCAATTTCACTTTTTCGGTATCAGAAAATGGAACTGTTTTATTTTTTAATTCTCGTTCGCTACACAACAATACAGTAGAGTGCAGCATTTACAATAGCTGAAAAAAAATAGTTAATTACAATAATTAAGAAGAAAGAACAGAATAAACTTTTATATATTTTAAAATAGATTTCGCATAAAATTTTATCTTTAAACGCCTATACATAAGTATATATATTGTTGTTAACTCTAAAATGTTTAGGTAAAATTATGGCAGTCTTCGATGATTTTATTGGACGACATGACACAGCTCCCGTTTAGTGCTTGCGCTTAAAACAGCTGAACGCTTTGCTTGCTCTGGTATTGAAACTAAGAGAGTTTCTCGTATTTAAAAATATATGATAAAACAAACTTTGCGTAATAGAAACGTCTAAGGAAAGTCTACACAGGTCACCGACACAGGTCACTGACACAGGTCACCGACACAGGTCACCGACACAGGTCACCGACACAGGTCACCGACACAGGTCACCGACACAGGTCACCGACACTGGTCACCGACACAGGTCACCTATACATGTATGGGTGAGTCGATCCAAGTTGTACACAATACCTGTTACATATGTAGAAACTTAGGTTAAGACGTATAGGGCCCAGATTTCCGATGAAAACTCAGGTGTTTTCTTATTAATGCACCCGCAACATCTTTTATCTTTGTCATTATTCATTTGGAATTTTTCTCTTCTGGTCAAAATATCCACAAGAAACTATGTGAAATCCTTGATCAGAAAATAATCAGTGATTTAGCACCGAGAAATGTCCGAAGAAACGTGTTTGTAACGAGGGAACAAGTGGCCTTTTATATAATTTTGTTCTTTGTTTAATCGTTCAAAGTTTTAATTAATATCCTTTCTTTTCGCTTTTATAATTTCCCAAAGTGATAAAAAGTTCAATTTTTGAAATTCCGTTGTCTTTTCTTGGTCTTTCCTCCAAGTTCGCAGCACTTATAAATGATTAATGCGCCGCCGCAGTTTTCAGAGTTAACATTTTCTTGTTTTATATGCATCACTTCCCAATGTGATCACAAATTCTGTCTGGAATGTCATAATTTCAAGAGGCTACCAGCATTTTCATTCCACAAGTTTTATGACCCTTAAACTACTGGGGCATGACGTAAGTCTTAAAAGAAACGTGCAAGCACTCGCCTTTTAAACTGAAGAAGCAAATCACAGAGAATAGAGAACAGTGCTGGTGAAGATTCTCTTCCAAACATCTGGGCATCAAGAGTGGTAGGTGAATTACCAGTTCGTTTAAACCTCGTGTTACCGCCTATCTCATTTCTGTCAATCATTAGTAGGCAAACACAAGTATAAAAGAAGACAATTGTCTTTTGGCGCCTCATGGAATAAAAAGAAAAGTTTTCTAGAGAAGCTGGAAAACTGCATTTGCAAATGACAAAGAAGAAACAAAGAAGTTAGGAGCATCTGATAAAATAAGTTACAAGATGCATCCCGCAATGCTTGATGTTTATAACTTTTGCGAAATTTTGTCAATAGGAGACTGAAAAAAAAACTGACTCCAAAAGAATTTATAGGATATGAACATGTAACCTAATGGCACTTGTACAATACTCAAACCTACTGAACTTTGACGTTCGAAGCCATTGTCGTTTATGAATTCTTTGCCATCCATCAAGTGCTTAAGTTAATTCATTTAATCGTATTTGCCGATTTTTTTACTAGCGAAAATAGTGCCAGAATGATTGAAACCGTCAAAATTGGACACGTCCTCCTCCTGGGTATACAGCTGTTTTTGTCTTCCAAAGTGGTCAGCTCAAAGGATTATGAGTAAGTTCCTTTCAGTCTCATTACTAAAAGCCAGATGGACAACAATTAGATCAGACTGCGAAGAAGAAATATGTTAGAAGTGCTTTATAAAGCACACATTAAAATCTGTGGAGATTGATCGATTTCGAAGTACCTCGAGAGAGCAGAAAACAGAACAGAAGATTAAGACTCCTTAGCATATTAGAGAATTGTAAGTAATGTTCATTACAGCAGAGAACGCTTCCATATTCATTTCTTAATCCGCAGTTCACATCCATGATTTTTATATATATTCACAGTCATCAATTCATCACTTCACGGGTTTATTGCGAACCAACATAATGACCAGCTCCCAATTGGCTTATTAGCTCAGTTGGTAGGGCACTGCACCGGTTTCAAATAGGTTCAAATCCCCTACAGGCCTGGACTTATTCCAGGCCTCATTTTCACTACTGCTTCAGTAGTGTTCATAAATGCGAAGATCGCTTATATTCCTTTCTTAATCAGCGGTTCACATATACGATCTATATTTATTTCTTCTTCAGAGGGCTCGTCAATCTTGCAATCTGATTGGTTCTTAACGCGGTCCGTATTTTTCCTATCTCTGCTCACGAGCAATGGTAACACTTTCGTATGTCGCCGAGTACATCCCTACATCCTACCGTTGCTATTTTTCGTAAATATACCTCATTTTTCCGGCTGGGCAGTATTTTTTAGCAAAACATGTAGGTCACTACTTCAAACCGATAAATAACCTGTTAATCCTCTCTTTTTTTTCTCTCTCAAATCCCCTTGGTTGACAGAAAAATGTTGGTTTCAAAATTAATTTTTGTATAGGCAAAAGTGTAATTGAATTGGTTGACGAGCGGCCTAAAAAGCGTTTGTAATTAATTTTAATCCTTCACAAAAAGTACCTGGAAAGTTAAAAAGTGAGATATCTGTTTGTAATTGAATTAATCGATGGAACTTTTATTCATTTAATATCTGAATTCTCTCAAACAATTTGTAAGTAGTGAAAGGACGAGCGAAGTTTTCAGTTCTACTACAAAGGCGCTCTCGGTGAGTCTTTCCAAGTCCGTTCAATTTGAACATTTGTATTATAAATTGCACAACAGAAACTGGAGTAATTCAAAAGAGAAAAAGCCGCATTAAATCCCCTTGTGTCTAGTTGAGGTGCCTCATTCGAATTTAGTTTTTGTGGAGGAAAGGCCAGATTTACACACGCCGTTGCGGTAAACAAACGAGCAAACTCTCACAACTTCATAATAGAAAATTTGAATTTAATGCGCCAATTTACAATTATTTTCCTTGCCATTTACTTACTGAACAGAAGTAAATCATCGTACATTAATTAATCGTCGATGAGACTGAACGATACTTTCCGTAAGATCATTGATTGCTTTTGAAGAAAATATTGTCGTGACAATCCTTGCCAAACTAGTTCCGTTGTTTTTTTCAAAAATGTACTTGCGTTTTTTTTCTTACGCGCTCTCTATTGACAGGTGTCAGATTGTGACAGAAACTTGAAAAAATAATGTTCCAAACTTTGTTGGAAGCCTGTTAAACCACCTTTATCATTATGCAAATGAAAATGTTTCGGTGAAGCCTCTCTCTTTAATTTGCATTACTTTATTTTAACTACCATTTACTCGCTCAAAAATTGTTCGGTTTATGGAAAATCTTACTGTAATCACAGTTAATTACTCGAGACCTCCGGCACAGTTTTACCCAATACGGACGTCCCGGCAGGCGAATAGCATATATATATTCATAGTCTTATAAATTGTTACGTTGCCTTTGGACTGTTTTATTCGCTCTCTCCTTCAGAGAAGTATTCTAATGGAGTGATTGTAATTTCAGATGCTTTGAGGGTTATTGTGCTATGACAGGCTCTTGCCAGTCGTCTCCCGGATCTAGTATAAGCCCTTACTGCTGGATAGCAGCCAACTCGTGGGGGCATGGGCTAAGGTGTGGAACTACAAGCGATTGCGCGGAGGCTGCTCTTAACTGGGGAAAATGTATCGTCGGCTCATGTGCTTTTGATCGCGCTAGCGGAAGAACCTGTGACCAGATGAACAGGAGGAATCTGGGAGAGCTGAAGAAAGAATGTGATACCAGAGGTTTCAGCTTTGATTCTTGGGCCAGAAGATACGACAAAGCTGTTAAATTGTTCAACAGGTTTAGCCCCTGCTTCAGTAAACACATTGAGGACCAAACCAAAAAGGTTATAAAATACTGTCACTGCTTGAACTCCTGTGGAAAAGATCAGACTCAAGATGGCTCCTGCACAGTCAGCGGCTTGGATAGGAGATTGGATACGGAGTTGGACGTCAAATCACCCTACACAGCGGTGTAAGTTTTTTATTTTAACAAAACTGCACTCTCTGAATTTTCCATCAGTAGGATGTTCCATTATTCTGGTGACGTTTTGCAATTGGGTTCCGTAAGCATCATGTAGATCATTGCATTAGTCACCAATCCCTAAGAGTTGGGACCATAAACATTTATCTTTTAATCAGTTAACTCCTCTTTCTTTTTTTTCCTAAATAAAGGTGCGCCATAGATTGTAAACCGAAAGAAAAGGTATGCTAATGATCTGTCTTCTTTGCTCAGAGGCCAAGATGATCCTCGAAAAAGCAGATAAACAACCAGAAAGAGCAGTTTCTTCATACTTCTCCGTAAAATCAACTACATGTTTCTTTCTCAATTTGCATGATTCTACGCCTGGTTGGTTTGCCCCTGGCTAGTCATTAGTTTGATATTCTCTGTACAACATATCTACCAAAACCTTACCATGTTTTTTGTTGAAGTGCACTTGGCTGCACTGGCTCGTTTATCCTCGCTCAATTCAAATAACCCATAACAAATGATCAAAATTAAAAGTACCAAGATCAATTATTTTCTCTCTGACAGGACTGGAGTCAGACAATTTTACTCAGTTTTTACAAAAACATTCAAACTCGGAACTATCGATAGAGAAATCTGGCCGATACCCAAAGCGGTTCTGCGAGTCTGCTGCGATCACCACTCCCCTACACGGTTTTCTTTGAAGAAAAAACTAAGCGTTAAGAAAACTCGCACAAAAAGTTACAAATAAATGGGATTTTGTCTTCTTTAAGATCCTTCTTTGTGTCACTAAGTTTTTCTCGTGATTTTAGGCATGGTAGGCATGGGAGCAAAACTAAATAGCAAGGGAGAAGCAACAAAGGTTATGTAATAAAATACAAATTAATGTATAACTTCTTTTTATTTCCACAGCTTGTCTTCTTGCAAAAAGTGATAAACGAGCATCGCACTGAAAAAGCTACCAAAACGATCACCATAACTAAAGGAATGTCTTCTTCCAAGTCTACGTCCAGTGGTGGAAGTTCAAGTGTAACTGTATCAGGGGAAGTCGGACTTAGCGTGATGAAACTTTTTGACGCAAAGATCGGTGCATCAGGAGCATTTCAGCATGACTGGAGTTTGTCTACTACTGGGACGGAATATCAGGAAGTGACTAGTGGAATATCCATCGGTGTTCAGCCAGGAGACGAAGTATCAGTGTCTCAGGTTGTTGGCGAGTGTAAAAACAGTGATGGCACTGTTTACACTATAAAAACACCCACTTATGTTATCAAAGGCAAAGATGGCTCATCCGAAACCAGGGAGGCAGATTTCTCTGAGGCCGAAGATAGGTTGTCGTAGAGAAGATTTAAGACATTCGGTTCTATGCCTTGTCATCAAATTATTGTGTTTCAACCAAATAAAATCATCTTATGATGCAAATTTTATCATTTTCGTTTACATATTTACTTACTTGTGTCTTTGAAAAAAATCTTTTTTTTTAACACGATTTCTTTATGAATATTTCCTTGACGGTTTCTTTCAAGTATAGTCTCACATTTGCAAGCAATAACGCTGCACAAGCTGCACAAATGTTCCAAATTCCACAGAAACTTTTGCTTGTGAAAGACAAATTTTACTTAAAACCTTACATAGACAAAAAGGCAACCTCTTGTTTATGAACCACGATCATTTTGTGAAAACCTTTTATAAACTTTTGTCAGTTATATTGTCCCATGCTCTTACGTCATTGAGGAAGTCTGTCAAGTAGTTAGAATTGTGGGACCCATGACTTTGCTACCTAGAGACGGAAATAGAAGAACCAAAAGAGCTGCTTGTTGGTGTTTAAGATCCACACGTGTTATTAGCGTTGTGATATAATAAACACACTGAATTGTTTTAATTATTGTCTTTAGGCCTTAAATGACGTCTTTACACCATTACGCAAGGGAATTTGGTATAAAGTTAGCAGGCGGGCGTAAAGAGAAGAAAGATCAAGAAAGGATTATAGGTCTTTGTCTGCTTTTAAGTTTGGCCAAATAGGCCGCCAGTGTCTGGGGTGATATTGGCACGTAGCACCTAATTGATTGCAACACAACTGAAGCACATCTTTGGAAAAAAAAAGTAAACAAAAGAAGATCTTAGTATTTGAAACTGCGCAGCTGTACTTTGAACTGTTATTGTTAATTTCCTTTGCTAAATAGCCAGTTTATTTAGTTAGATGTGCATAATAACCTAGTCTCACTTAACTAACAATCACAAAACTATTACAGAAAACTCATCTCGTTCACGAACAAGGTAAAGACACTAATCTGACTGACATGAGTGAATTGATTCAACATGATCGTCACATTTGGGCGAGGAAGACGCTCACTTAACTAACAATCACAAAACTATTACAGACAACTCATCTCGTTCACGAACAAGGCAAAGACACCAATCTGACTGACATGAGTGAACTGATTCAACATGATCTTCACGTTTGGGCGAGGAAGATACCTGCTAAATGGAAAACGAAGTCAAGGAGGGCATCCTTGCAACGCAATCATTATACAGATAGAATCGAACAACAAACAGGTGCCTTGCTGGGCCAGATTTGGAAAGTTGATGGAGCCCCTGTTCTTCCCTCTAGGACAGCCACCGTCCCATTTTCGCCGTCTTCGTTCTGCCACTTTTCCAGTTCGTCAACATGCTATTACTGCTTATTTGACCAAAAGAACGGACGAAAGTTCTGCGAAATTATGGTTCGCGGATACTGTACAACGTATCAAAACAAACAGACGCAACGAGAATGACGAAGAAGTGATTAATGCCTTTGGTACCTCAGTAAATAAGAGATTTGCTTCTTTATTTGGAGACACCATCCTTCAAATCAAGCAAAGTCCTACTTTGGCCTCCTCAACCGGTAGAGAGTTATTTAACCGTCTGGATAACTTTAACCCTAATTCAAAAGTTTCTCTTTCCCTGACATGTGGATGATATTGCCAAAAGGTCTGGATAGAAGCAGATACGTAGCGAACTTAAGAAGCATTTTGTTCACTCTTTACATTCAAGTTTGTAATTTATATTATTCAGAACTGAAGATGACAGAAGAACTGTCGAAACATGTTTTTTAATTTTAAAGGTGTCGTTAATTTTCTCAAGTTTCTCTTTAAATATCAATACATTTCCAAGCAGATGGCTAATTATGGGAGAGAAAACCATAGAGTAAGGGTTATTGCTTGATTCAACGTGAAATTCTTAGAGATAAAATTGGAAGACAAGTCAGGAGACAGTGGACAATCTTGGGAGTGAAAATGTTTCGCTCCTAAACTAAATGAATTATATCCATTTCTTTTGTTTGTAATTTCCACCTACTGATTTGGTTGAAGATGAAGAAGACTGCAAACGAACCATTTTCAACTAAAAGTTTCGGAGATGTAAAAGCTTTGAGGCAACTGCTGGACTTACTATCGAGTTGTAACCAGGCACGTAAAGCCTAATTGTAGTTACAGGGTTGTTATGTTGATGTTTCGCTCTTGCCTTTATTGCTTTCAGCTGAGGTTTCCTCTTTTATGATGTCGCAATGTTACTCTGAGAGATCGCGTAGGATCCAAATTTTACTACATGATTAGTTGTGGAACCATTTGAGCCAGAAGGGTCTCACTGATTTCTACAGTCGTGGGTTTATCTACAATTCATTGAAAATGTTTTTTTGAAGGCTGATTTTCAACCAAAAAGGATGCCGGAATCTTTTTATACCTGAAGATTTTTCGAACATTGAAACACTTTTCATAGGTTTAGAGGCTTATTTTGCGCCACGAAATTTCATATCTGCTGGTTCTCTTCAAAGAACAAAGAGCAAAAGCGATTAGTGAGTAAAAACGTGAGCGAAATTACAAACACGTTAAGCAAATTCAAAGCCTCACATCAATTAGATTATTAACTTTGTTATAAAACGAAACCAGACAGTAAACTGTAAAAAAGTAGGACTTAAGGACTGAAAGAAAAGTAAATTAAAAAAATTCCAGCCTTAATGGCTTCTAAAGGACGCCTGTTGCTAGAAATCTGCTTCGGTTCCAAGATGGCGGGGGAAGAATCGGCGGGAGGGCATTAGCTTTTCAAAGATAATTATACAGTAACTACTTACCACGTTTCTCAGAAAACAAAAAATCAAGTTAGCAGTTCCTTGGTTTCTTCCTAAAAAAATCAAAATGAGTTTAAAAAAAAAACGAGGTTTTATTCTTAATCGACCTAATAGAGTTGTGCAGTTCAGCTTGTCGATCACTTCGACGTGGAAAGTTCAAACAAAGTGATGTGACAATGATTGAGTATTTAGGACAAGATAAATAATCGACACACTTTGTTTCATAGTGAAAGATTTAAGAAATCGAATTAGATGACGTCAAGTTCTCCAATATTTAGATTGAATAAACAAGTCAAAAAAATAAACTGTTTTCGTCTCCCTTTCACCTTTCACTTTTGAATGAAAACGTTTAGAGGAGGGGGGGGGGGCATATTCACGAATCCTCTCTTAGCCGCTTTTTTGAAACCTGCCCTATTTAGTCATGCGAAATTCTCATCAAATACCTTGACATTTGGAAAAAAGTCTGTGCTATATGCAACGTTCTCCAACGTTGATCCGTAATATTTAACAGATAACTTGAAGAACCGACTGTCTACACCTAATCTAAAATGAAATATACTTGGAACCCCATACTTTATTGTAAGCCGTCGACTCAATCAAGTGTGTATCCTATCAGCTTCATTGAGCTAAAAATATTGCTTTATAGATGAGGTTGTAATTCGTTTATCAATTCATTTTCCTATCAATGTGTGTAATCGTACATGAAGAGGAGGCGATGATGGAGGCCGACGCTGACGTTTAATTCACAGAGCATTAACGGTTAGACGTATCGCAAGCTTATTTACGGCATTTTTTCCCTTTCTCTGCTTGTTTTATTGCGGTTGTTGTTGTTGTTTTTGTCGTTATCGTTGTTGTTTTACGGCAGAAATGTACAATCAAAGAAGAAATCTGTCAAGAAAAGTCTTTATCAGGCCTAAGCAGACGATAGCTTCAGTGTTCAAAATATTACCACTTGGCATGATTGGAATGACTTGGAATTTTAGACGGTTTGAGGGAAATTGTGCTATGACAGGCTCTTGCCGGTCGGCTCCCGGAGCTGGTTTTAGCCCTTACTGCTGGATAGCATCTGACTCGTGGGGGCATAAGCTAAAGAGTGGACCTAAAAGTGATTGCAGAGACGCTGTTCTTGATTAGGGAAGTTGTATCGTCACCTTATGCAGATTTGATCGCGTTAACGGAAAATCCTCCGACGAGATTAAGAGCGAGAAACTTGGAGAGCTTAGGAAAGAATGTGGTAGCAAAGGTCTCAGTTTTGATTCTTGGGCCAACAGGTATGAGAAAGCTTGTAAACTGTACGACAAGTTTACCTCCTGCGTCGATGATACCACTGAGGATGAAACCAAAAAGTTATGAAATACTGTCACCGCTTGAACTCCTGTGGAAAAGATCTGACTAAAGATGGCTCCTGCAGTCCACGGTTTGGATAGGAGATTGGATATGGAATTGGACGTCAAATCACTCCACTCAGTGGTGTAAGGTTTTTTTCTTTTTTGTCTTTTATTTAAATAGTTTTATAAAACTGTATTCTCTAATTTCCCATCAGTGGCTGTTCTATCATTCTGGTGACGATTTGGGTTCCGTAAGCATCCAGTAAATCATTGTATTAGTCACCAATCTTTTAGAGTTGTGGCCATAGATGTTTAACTGTTGAGTGGCAATCTCTTTAAGAGCGCTCCATGGCGTGTCGCATCGGAAAACAGTTTTGCCTTAAACTTTACCCATTAAATTATCTTTGGTATTAAGTAAATAAAACCCCATTAGTTTCTGGAAATGCGGTCATTTGAGAGGTCTCAAAAATCAAAGCTGCAAAATGTCCCTTTTTGATCTCTTGCGACATCGAAAATTTCAAGTTGACAAGCTCGCTGCTCGTAATACACCACATACAGCAAGAAATCGTTTGTATTCCTATATTTTGTGATATATAAGGGGTTTGGAAAGCATTTCAATTTTGATATGTGATTGTTCACAGGTTCGCTATAAATTATTTGAAAACATCCATCAGACAGCTTTCTGAAATTGGTCAAAAGTACTCTTTCTCTCTAAGATGATATTTCTCAAGTCCAGACTAAATCATTGAAAACTCAATCGCTCCAACGAAGGGCTAACGCTCGAAACGTTAGTTTTTTTACCCTTTACGGTGGCCAATTTACGTTTTCAACTCAGTTGTTAACACTAAATTACATTGAAAAAAATCCAGTTGATCTCTTCTAATAAGATTTTCGAAAGCATAAAAATT